TTAGCAGGCAAAACAAAATCGTCAACATTTTATTTTGAATGAAACCTTCTCGAGTGCCTAATTAGAAAAAGTCAAGCAGTTGAGTTAATCAACAGTAATCTCAGCTGGATCTTTTTTCTGATAGCTAGCTAACAACCGGTAAAAAAGTGTGAGTACATTCATTCAACATGGACATATTCAAGATGGCGGCACCCATACAACGTTTGTATGGAGCGTCTGTTTTTTCAGAATAGAGTGAAAACATCTTGAATATTTTTTCTCCTTTCCAAGTAAACGGATATTTTAAATATTAGTAATTTTCTCTCTCTTTAATATAAATATTTTTAGAATAAGAAATCACAAGTACAGAAAAATAAACACTTTTGTAAGTTGTGTTTTAGAATTAAATATCCATTTAAACTTGAGAGCTTTCTAAATGCTAGTTTTTACTTGTACGAATAAACTTTAGATATGAATGACAAATAGCATTACATTACTATTTTATGTGAAAAAACAACAACAACTATAATTCTACTTCGTGAAGTGCTTGGCTTTTAAACCACTAAAATAGAGAGAAGCGAAGGTGCGGATAAATCAACCCAGGAGCCCACCCGTCTCTTCCCGTTTTTCCTTTTTTTTACCTTAATCATGTGTCAACACGTTCACCATGTTCATTTTCAAATGATGAACGCCTATATGTCGAATTCATACCAACTAATAATAATCCTGGTAGAAAATGGAACATCTCCTGGAGTTTTGTTTTCATTTTCACGTTTTTTGAAAATATACTAATATTCTTTACCCACATCATTGGGAAGTGTATTAAACTATTCAGGCGTGATGCAAAGCAAGACATGAAACAAGAACAAACGCTAAAATAGATAAGGACGTGTGAGCATTATATAAGAAGCATGTTCATAAGGTAATACACGAACAGTTTTCTCTAACCATAAATGAAGGTCACACAATTACTACAAGTTTTACCTGTGGTAAACTGCCACATTTTACACGAGACTGATAGTTTCTGGGATAGCATTTGATTGACCTTTATATCATGACATGTCAGGTAACAAATAGCCCCAATATGTCTAAATACCCTATATCAGCAACTTTTCGATATTACACACCTACATCCCAACAATAGGGGAAATCAGGACTTCTGACTCTCTATCACACACACACATATACATACAAGTATACACAAAACAACGCGAACGTTTCATCACAACAAAGTCGGTCATATTTTGCCAATAATGGTCAGCATACATCCAAATAATGTATGTGCCGTGATAAACAGTAGCATATGCTGTTATTATCATGTAAGACTGTAAGGGTAACAGAAAACATACAAGCAATATATCTGGTATTATACCATCTCACTCACGAAAAGCTTCTCCATTATTACACGCACACCTTTCGTGGATTTTAATTTTTTGCTTTTAGTTAGGTCTAGGTAAAGCCTTATTATTACTGTACCAGTAAGGTCTAGGTAAAGCCTTATTATTACTGTACCAGTAAGGTCTAGGTAAAGCATTATTATTACTGTACCAGTTAGATCTAGGTAAAGCCTTATTATTACTGTACCAGTAAGGTCTAGGTAAAGCCTTATTATTACTGTACCAGTAAGGTCTAGGTAAAGCTGCTTTACCTAGACCTTACTGGTACAGTAATAATAAGGCTTTACCTAGACCTTACTGGTACAGTAATAATAAGGCTTTACCTAGACCTAACTGGTACAGTAATAATAAGGCTTTACCTAGACCTTACTGGTACAGTAATAATAAGGCTTTACCTAGACCTAACTGGTACAGTAATAATAATTTATTATTACTGTACCAGTTAGGTCTAGGTAAAGCCTTATTATTACTGTACCAGTTAGGTCTAGGTAAAGCCTTATTATTACTGTACCAGTAAGGTCAAGGTAAAGCCTTATTATTACTGTATAACATACATTCAAATTATGACTTTTTTTTACTAATATAGAGAGGCTTATAATATTTATGGCTCATTTCGTGTAACTCGCACAGAAAATATCTAAAAACATCCTGAACAATAATATTTACCTCACGTAGAACATGCACACAAAATTCACGAACCGTCACATTTAACTCACACAAAACATAAATCATGAACTTTCATATTTGACTCACGCAGATCACACAAAAATCACGAACCGTCACGTTTAAACCATGCAGAACATACAAACAGAAATCATGAACAGTCAGTCACTTTCAACCCATACATGCAAGACACACACAAGATTTTATAGTAAATTTTAAAATCGTATACGTTCTATAAAATTATGAAACTTTTAAGCTCTTTTATAATGGCACAGACACACGACAAGTTTGTCTTACAAATAATAAGAAAAACATAAACCTATTCGTTAATCATGTCACAACATGTGTGTTTATGTACCAGGAAAACAGATGTTTCTTAACCATTCGCTAATTATACAATAAATTATAGATTGTTAAACAGAGTAACGCTATAATTTTTCTACAGTATTTTGATAAAAAGTTCCACGATTTCTCCAAATTCAAACTTAATTTTTGTGACACGTGTTTACACCAGCCGCACTACACTTTGCCAAAGGGGCGCGAGAGAGCGTTTCATCTCTGTTGATAAGATCTACATCCATATTCTGCAAACACGGTTACTGTAGTTAGTCCATAAAAAAGTACAAACAGTATTTTAAGCCCACCTACAAAATGTAATGAAAAAACAATAAACCACTCAATAAAAATGAAAAGAAAAACTTTATTTTAATTTGAAATGCTGAATTTAAAAAAAACGGACTGTTCATATATTAATTTTTAACCGAATAAAAATACAGATCGCGTAACAACATTTGCAAATTTACAGATAATCATCGATTCCTGTTAGGACATTTCCTGAATCCAATCCCTACTTAAAATGTTTCCTGAATCCAATCCGTATACGTTTTGGGCAACGCTTTTCCTTGCTATAACTCGACTCGTAATCCCGATGTCGTGGGTTCGAATCTTCTCCCCGTATATGCTTGCCCTTTCAATTGTGGAGACGTTATAATGTTAAGGTCAATCCCACTATTCATTGGTAAATAGTAGCCTAAGAGTTGGCAATGAGTGCTGTTAACTAGCTGCCTTCCCTTTAGTATTTCGCTTCAAAATTGGGGACGGTTAGCGTAGATAACTCCCGAGTAGCTTTACGCGAAATTCAAAACTAACAAACAAATCCTTACCATAAACGGTCACACGCAGATTTTCCCCGTTAACATACACAAAGAGCTATACTGAGATTCTAATAAACCGTACTACATTAAAGTGTGCAACAATCGCACTCTGGCCATATGAACAAGGCTTAGATATAGCAGTAATTTACCTTCTATAAGTGCGCTACACTTTGCGTATTTTACTGACTTTACAGAACCATTACATGTAATCTAGCATACACGGATTTTATTTTCATTAACCCTGCAAAACTAAAACGTGAAGCTTAATCGAACGGCAAATAACAAGTAAATATGCTATTGTTTCAATAAAAAAACTTCCAGTTGGAAAAAAACAAACGAACAATAGCATTACATAAGCTATCTGTTAAAATACTTGTGAACAACAATGTTATCCTGAATAAAGTTTTAAAATTTAATTTTTAACCGTCTATTCACTGTCGTTGTAGGTGTTGGGTTAGAATTTTACAAGTTTACAGAGATAGTTATAAGTTGGCGGCTAAACACCAAAGTTGTGAAGCCTAAGACTTAGCAAGTAGGTCTACGCTAAACGGCAATAGAACTGGAAAAACTGTACAAATCCAGTAGCATAATGAAACAGGAGGAACGACACTGGTGACTGAATCTGTCACATGCTCCAAAGCTGACCTATACCATCAGTGGAAATAAAAACAAGAAAAAACCTTGAGCACTGGCAGTCTGAGGACTGAAACACACACGAGCAGTGCGCCAATAAACTAAGTCAACGATAGGTAGTCGTAGACGCAGCTAGCCGCGATCTTTTCTAACCTCACTTCTTTTATTCAACACTAAGACAAGGAACGAACAACAAAAGAGACATCCAAACCTGTTGTGGAATTCAGTCCGTTACTACTTGTCATGACTCGGCTCCAACTGGGACGCACGGGATGCTCCGGTGCGCACAATATGACGCGATCGTGCCGAGAGTCTAGGAAATCGGACGATGAGAAACAACGTACACCTTACTCTTGACGACTACTGTAACTAGTCTGACCGCAAGCGCGCTCCCGTCAGACAGGACCAGCCTTCTTACAGGTCGCTCCCCCTCAAGGCTATCTGCATGCTAGCCATAATTAATTCTCGAGATTTTCTTCTCAACCAATGGTAGCGCGCGTACGAGCAAACAGGACTTGGCCTTTATTGGTCACAATTATTTTGGGCTGCACACTCCCCGCTTCATCAACACAATGACGACGCGCACTAGCACAGGCGTGAAAACAAAGGCGCTCCATGAGAAGTGCTGATTCATTTGCTCTCCCCAGAATTAACTTCTCTCATTAAATGAATTCATTGAAACCCTGACAAAGTTTCTACCTCTGCGCTAAACCGCTATCCCGTTCCAGTCAACGAACATATTTAGTCAACCAAGAAATCTGTTCCACGACAACGCATCACTGCCTTGCCTTATCAAAAATAGCCGTGTCTAAAGGTACAAATGGGAGCCAGAGAGGGAGGGAAAAAAAAACAACAATCGGCTATCAAACTCTGCAATCCCTTCTTGTGACAAGCGGACGTGCAATTAAAATGCAAATCGCACCCCTTGTTTAACTGTCTGGCGTTTGAAGTACAAAGCTTACCCAAATCCAGTCGCTTAGCACCTCCACGAAGTTATGAATAGGTTCAAATTAGTCACTGCGAGAGGGGGAAAGTGACGCGTCTACGCCGCGCGCAGTGGGCGCTCGCTGCTGAAATTAAGACTGATTCAACTTTTGTCCATAATACACCATTGCGAGTGAGTAACGAGATAAAGGGGTGAACACAAGATTTAGGATCAAATTTCTGTGCTAACCTGGTACAGCAATCGACAATTTCTTCTCCAAGGTCCTGATGAGTTCAGAAATCCACACTCATAAATAAAATCCCAGGTCCAATCAAACATCGCTGACCCCCTTTTTTATGTTTCTTCACCAGGCAATGCTAGTCCGCCTGTCGGTAATCTCGTGCATGCTGCGATCACTTGAGTATGCTGCCAGTTATGAAAAAGCTGACACCTTTATGGATCGCTGAGGCACGGCTGCCATCTATTGTCTCACTAACGGACCAATTCAGCGCATGTGCGAAACATGCATGCCATGCACGATAAGCGAAAAATGGTAATACGCACACGATTTGCTCATCTCATTCTATCATCTGCGCCCAAGTACGCTTTGGAAAGAAAAAAATGCAAGAAGTCCTTGCGCATGTAGACTGCTGGATGTTTACATTGATCCTTTTATATAATAAGAGTACGCAGGTTTATAGAGCAGATTAATGCGCAATGTTTCACACACATCGGGAGGGGAGGGGAGAAGTTTAAGATATTCCTTGTGGAATTTAGAGTACAAGCGCAGTTATATGTTGAAATCTTTATGGAAAACGTCAGCATGAATCTTTGAGCGATTTAAGGCCCATTACTTGCCCTTTTCCAAGGCTGGAGTTTTTGTATTGTTATTTTTCATAATTATGTACGTCGCAAGTACATGCAGAGTTTGTTTATTCTAATACGTCTAACGTTTTAACATTAAAGGGAAGATGTTATTAACACTGTTTTTAAAGTTAGGTTATAACTATTTTTAAGATATATTCCTTACAATGTTACAAAAAAACACTCTCCTAGCCTTGATATATGCTTTATAAGATAACAAGAAACACTCTCCTAGCTTTGATATATGCTTTACAAGATAACACTCTCCTAGCTTTGATATATGCTTTACAAGATAACACTCTCCTAGCTTTGATATATGCTTTATAAGATAACAAGAAAACACTCTCCTAGCTTTGATATATGCTTTACAAGATAACAAGAAAACACTCTCCTAGCCTTAATATATGCTTTACAAGATAACAAGAGAACACTCTCCTAGCCTTAATATGTGCTTTACAAGATAACAAGAAAACACTCTCCTAGCCTTAATATATGCTTTACAAGGTAACAAGAGAACACTCTCCTAGCCTTGATGGAGTTTTGAATTATCAATAAGGGTGAACATTTTGGAAATGTTTGAATGGTCACTGAAAGCAGAAATATTACTGGGAGAGTCGCTAGCAGCGAGAGTACCCAAATGATGACCTAGAGCAGAGTGGTTACAGAAGCTTTTTTTAATTATTACTGAAGCATTTTAGCAGCCCTTCTGGTAGAGGCTACTACATGTTTGTTTTAATATCCTCCCACTACTCCATAACTACACGGCTTGCTCACATTCTTTCATACAGCTCTTCCCAGTGAAGCATCATTCCAGCTTTATATTACCAGAGTTGGTTGTACTAGAAAAACATCAGTGTTTCACTTGACACCTAAAAGAATCTGTGAAAGAGTCCACCCTTCATTTTCGAACAGGGGCATGCAAGGTGGGCTATAACGAAATTCCGTAAAAAGTAGTAGTATCCTCAGCATCTTTATTGGGGTGCTCCCTATGACCTACCTCGTATAAAGAGGTGAATTTAAAAAATGGCCTTTCATGCTGGGTTACCAGTCA